CAACACAACACCAAACTTGTCCTCTGGAAATGAAAACTATATACCTTCAGTACAGTGCTGTCTCTATTATCTCAAAAGAACTATTTTAGTGGGGACTTTATTCCTTGGTTATGTGAGTGTTGAGACAGTAGGCTTTCATATTAGGTACATTGCAAATAAAATGAGTTCAGTTCTTATGGGTATATTATTAATACATTCTATTTAATTTTGGTGAAATGAAAAATACAAAAAAGTAGAGGCAGCAACACTTATAATTGTATTTTTTATCTATTTCCCATCTGGGTATAACCGAAGGCCTCTGCTGTAAATATTAAAAGTAAGTACATTGAGTACATGACCATCTATGAGTTGTATAGGTGGATCTTGAGGTAGATCTCAGCTTCCTGAGGAACTGCCCCACCGATCTCCACAGTGGGTGTACCACTCTTATTAGCAATGAATTCGTGTTTCCTTTTCCCTACATCTTCACCAGCATGTGTTGTCATTTGTTGTATTGTTCTTTAGCATTCTGACCTGTGTACAATTAAATCTCAACGTAGTTTTGATTTTCATTTCTCTGATGGCTAAGGGTGTTGCGCATCTCTTTAAGTGCTTCTCATCCAGTTGTGTTTCGTCTTTTGAGAACTGTTTGCCTAGTTGTATAAGCCATTTTTTAATTAGATTATTTGTTTTCTTGATTTTCAGGCTTTGTATTTCCTATATGTTTTAGATAGCAAACCTCTATCAGATGTATGATTAGTGAGGATCTTTTCCCATTAGATAAGGGGGTGGGAACAATGTAGGAGAAAATGGGGAAGGGAAAAACACTATCAGAAAATGCTGCATGAAAACTTTTTTACTAATTACACATATAATGTAAAAAATGTTTTATCATTCAATTCTTTAAAAAGTTGCTTTGACATTTTATTTTTTGAGTAATTTCATTTTATTCTACTTGAAGAAGATACCAATTTATGGTGATTTATAATAGAAACAAAAGGGGAAAAACAAATGCAGTAAAATGTCCTTCCTAAGAATTCCAATACCCAGAATGGCAAGAGAGGTTTCAGAGTAACCTTGTGTATTCCAGCTCTTCCACAATGAGCAAGGTGGACAAGTGACTTAAATGTTCAGTGACCTCACCTGTTGTATACACAAAGGATATTTGTGTTCAGAGTCTTGGTATATACTTTAAAAGCACTGGTCTTAACATCCTTTTCCTCAATTGTACAACAGATAATAATACAAAAGTAACAGATTAGATTAGGAACTTAGACAACTTGTAAAAACTGGTCCCTATTTAGTGCCCGGTAACACCCCAGATTAGCTATTATTATTTTTATTATTGAACAATGGTATTATTATATGTGTCTCATATATAGCAAGTATCCAGTAGACATCCACATTCATCTTCCTCATTTGTGCAGGACATTTTGAAAATAGCATGTTTGCTGCTTTAATGTAAACTTCAGAGTGATCTGGGCTCCGAACCTGGGCAAGCGATACAGGATGCTATGGACCCTGGTGTACTCATCTGTTCACACTTGGACATTTGTCCTGTCTTCCTCTGAGGATATTCTCCTCTTGGATGTCTGTGTACTAAGTAAAGGAATCAGAGGGTAGCCACTGGCATCTACCTTACAAGATACCACAGGAGAGTGCTATTCTGTGCCATGTGGGGAATTTAAACTGAGATAACGCTATCCAGTCTTTCTTTTTTCTTTTCTTTTCTTTCCTTTCCTTTTCTTTTCTTTTTAACAAACTACCCAATACACTGCATCTCTCCAAACCCTTTCATAGAACAAAACGACTGGAGAGGGTAGTTGATATAGAAAAAGAATTTTTTTGAGCCAGGGTCATACTGTGTAGTCCTAACTAGACTGAAATTCACTCTGTAGACTAGACTGGCCTTGATCTCACAAAGACCCACCTCCTTCTGCCTCCCAAGTGCTGGAATCAAAGGCTATTTATCACCTTTTAAGAGATTGAGAGTAATGTCTGTACCATGTTGGTGTTTACAAAATGCAGTGATCTGATTGATTCTTGCAAACTATGGGCAGACCCTTTTATTCAAACCCCATGGATTAAACAAGGCAGTTAGTAAAACCGGATAGGATTATCACTCTTTAAATCCCCCCTCCTCTATTGACTGGGAGGGCTTTTTGGTGGCATCCTGTATCATGGCTACCTTAGAATTCTTTATGTACTGCACATACATCCAAGAGAAATTACAAGACTCTCGAAACATGAACCTCTGGTGAGCGGTACCTTAAACTGTAATTCTTCACATCTTAAATCTGCCTACAGGTTGCATAAAAGACAAAGAAGTATATTTCAAAAGATAGCATCAGAAATACCATCTGATGAATGGAAAGCTGTCATCCTTGAATACAAGGATCTTTGTTAGAGAAATACAATGAACAAGTAAGAAGGACTATAGGGAGGGGATATTGGTAGAAAAAAAGAAATATATATCCAAACAAGAAGAATAATATTGGGAAAACTGTTCAAAAGGCTCTAGCTTGTATCTAAGGCATAGCAAGATTCAAAGCCCACAGTAAGAAATGAAAAGTGGGGTTTAAAAAAATGGAAGTGCTGACAGGCATTCCTAAATGGCCCCAGGCATAGAGAGAGGCTGCCTTTGAGGATGTGGGACAAACCCCACAGAGAGCCCCAGCAGGCACCTTCAGCAGCTGAACTAACCTCACCCCTTGGCCCAGTTAACCATCCCGACTCTGGGGAGCACTCCAGAGGGCAGGCAAAGACTGCACAGTCAGAATAATTTCTCCAACTGCTGCCTGTGCCCACAATCTCCTTGGCTCAGTATTTGATCCCTGATAAGAGGTCAGTGACCTTTCTAAGGGCAGTACAGCAAATGCTTTCAGTCATCCACACCTTTATGTGGGTGAACTGCAGGTTCTCACTTGAAAGACTCAGCCAGCACAGAGGGACAGGGAGGCAGGGCATTGGGTATTGCGGCTGAATAAGACAAGGGCGCAGCTGCTCAATGGACGATGCCAATGCTGACGGCAAGCAGTGTCTTCTCACGACTCCTCCTGAAGACCAGCCAGCATGCTTTGAATAATAATGTGTTATGTTGAACAATGTGTATATGGGTTGCATGTGTGCATACAGTCACACAATAAATGCTAGCTACATGGAAGATGATTATTGATGTTTCTGATCTTTTGCCATACATTAAGTATGGTTTTTAGATGCACTACACTATTTTATTTCTATGAGAGTGATGGTGAATATCCTTATTTTATAAGTAAGGAAGCAGGTTTAAAAATTCTTTACAGTGCTAATGAGTAGAATAGGGATTCAAACTATTCAAGTCAATTCTAGTCTAACCAGCACATGTGTGCACTAACATGAGCAACGTTCTCTCTAAGTCTCTGTCTCTCTCTGTCTCTGTCTCTCTCTCACACATACACACACATGCACACACAGAGATACTCATATGCACATACAGACACAAACACACATATGCACACACAGATATGCACATACATACACACAGATACACACACATATGAACACACACACACCAGCATTCTAGTCCCATACCAAGGAAACCAGAATCCCCTATACCAAGTTTCTATTCTTCTGGTTCAATGCAATCCATGTACACCAAATCTGAACCAAGAAATACAATGTAGCAGTCAATCTTCAGAGAAAAACATGAAAAGAAAATAGAACCTTGGAGTGTGCAATGCTTGTCAAAGACAGTGATGGGAACTAAGAAGTTTCCCTATATATCTAAACTGCTGACAACTTCCTAAAGCCCAAATGAATTGATTTGGGTTCAGAAAAATTTTGCAAATTCACAAAGAACTCATTGCTACTTTCTGAGAAAAATCACCTAAGTCATCAAGATAGAAAAAGTAGGTTCACGTCTGTGACCATCATTTGCAAGCCTCCCACCATCTGCCCATTCATGTGTCACAACTCCAGGTTTCTCCAGTATGTGTTTTATTAAACCTGAATGAAGTGCATGATGCACATGCTAGGATGCTGGATATGTGATGAAACATTAGAGACATCCAACAAAGGTCTAGCAGGGTTCAGAGGGGGAGATATGGCGAGCCTATTTCAAATACCAGCTCTACTCAATCAGAAGCACATTGAAATATTTTTTAAACAATGAAGTACACACAATACAACTATAATAGGAGGCAAAAATGTGTATCTCTAAAATAAAACTCAAGCTTTGAATTTAACATGTCTCTCTTTGGGGCAACATCCCTATATTCTGAGGTCTCCCTCCCCTGCTGTTTTCATGCTGAGAGATGTGCACAGCTCACGAAAGCATGGGTGCATATATTTGTCCTGCATCATGGACTACTGGGATTAACAATTAGAAAAGAGCCAGATCGAGGTGGACTGTTATCTTTATGCAACATTAGAAAGCAATGGTCCATCTTTTTAGCTTCAAGTTCATTAAAAGCTCATCAGCCTAACAGGCCCTAAGGAGCCACAGCAGCTGAAGGGTACTTCTTCCCTCCGTTACTCGTTCTCATGACAGATATGAAAGGATCTGCACTTTATTCAGCGATTTGATCCCAAAAGAGGACATCTTTCTGGTAGTTTTATTTAACAAACTAGAATATTAGTACTAATAATAAAATCTGTTGTGAAAGATTGCCTTTCTGTTCTACCACTCAAAAGCTTGCCCTCATATCTATTATTTTGAAAGGTAAAACGCATCAAAAGAGCAAATGTTGAGGCCTCTTCCTGGTAGCAGAAAGTGAATCCACCTTGTGCTCTAGGGTGCAGTAGAGCTGGTCTTACTGCCTTCTGAAGGGATCAATATCCAAGGTGGTATTGCTATAGGCAAGTAGAAAAGTAACTCTGAAAAACTTTTTAACTTATTGATCCTGAACCTTACTTTAGAAAACAAATGAGTATGCAGCACTCCTTGTGAATCCTATAGGACATTTATAAACGGAAAATCTTTGTCAGCCTTGACAAATTGGCTAGAGGAGCTGTCCAACTGCTGAACAGAAGGGACCACATACCTTTGACAAGATTCTAGGCATAGTCACAGTGTGGGAATCCACTTTTCAATTCATAATTTGTCTTATAAAACTTCAAAGAAAGGCTCTGACATTTTTCCACTGCATTCTTTGTTAGGATATGACCTAATCAGAAGAGAAATATCTATGGGACACTCAGAGAATGCAACACAAAATGCCAGTCAAACACCAAGTTAAGATAGCATGTACACGTAGGTGTGAACTCCTGCAGAAGAAGTTTTGTAAAACAGACTTTGATAACTGTGTAACTGGTCACGAGCTAGGGAACTTTGGATTCATTCACAGTGAGTAATGCTCTCATCACATTAATCTGAGATAGCTCAGAACTTCAGTCCTGCCACATAAATGTGACAGCACTACACTCATTTGTCCCACATGACTCATATATAAAGATATAACCTTCCTTAAAAATGTGATCAGCACCAATACAAACTGATGTTATTATCCAAATTTTACCAATCATTGGAAAATTCCCTTGATCTACTGCTGCTCAGGGAGAAAAGCCAATTTGTTTTGTCCCAAAAATTCCCATCTGCATGAACTTGGAGGTGTTTAGCATGGCAGAGTGAAAGGTCATATGGTCAAAGATGAATATATGATTTTCTTTGTGATGTTTGCTTGATTAAGTGAGTTTCACTCCTATGGAAGGTAGCCATTTAAGAAATCCTAATCAAGTTAGCCGAACACAGTGAAATTGAACCCCAACGTCTCACTCTTATAGATCAAACAATATTACACATTATATACAGATATACATATGCAATGAACACTTTTACTCAACACGTTTAGTTTCTAATAACCCAAGAATTATAAGAACACTTTGCAATTCTTCCACTATATTCTGTTTAGGTGGTGGTAGGACGGAAGCAGACCGAATGCATACTGTGTAGAAGGGGGCACCCATTTGAGTTGACAAAATCTACCACAGTGATCCTTAAAAGTGTAATTTCCATATCCTGTAATCAGGAGTTGCCAGGCATTTGATTAAATACCCCAGGCATTTGATCCCCAACCTACTTCCTTTTCTCCCCCTGACAGGCAAGCAGGGAAAAGTTAAACCAAAAACCTGAAGAAACAAAATGTGTATTCTAATACAGAAATGCTTTTACCTGCCATCCTGCTGTGAATGAAATGGGCCAAGCTCTCAGAATGTTTGTCAGCTTAACTCGCAGTTGGTGGCACTGTGAAAATGTAGCCAAGCAGCCTTATTGCTGCTTCTGTCCTTTAACTGCCAATTGGAATACAATAGAAGCATCAAGGAGAAACAGAAGAGAGGGGAGTCCAGAAAGACCCCAAAGGATGATGAGAAACAAGCAAAGAAAACGTTTCTAAATCAAAGACATGCTTTTGCTATGTTAGCATCTCAGACAGCTTGCACAACAAAAATGAATATGCCTCAACAAATTGCCACTTCACTTCCCCCAAATCATTTAGGAAACATTCAACTTGAAAAACTCATAAGACATGCTTAACCTTAATCTAGAAGGAAAGTGACTGCATCATATTGATTAGACATAGATACAAATATTCAATATCTTATAAGAGATTCCAATTTAATTTTTTGATAGACATAAAAATGTTTTCAGTTTGGTCCATATAATATGCAGGCCAAGTGAAGAGGATAGATACTGATGTATTCTGAATTGTGTACATGAGTGTCTGGAACTGTATCCATGTTTAACTCCTGCATCATCTCACCCTTTGTGGTTTACATTTTATTCTTATAAAGACATTCCATTGTTGCAATAATATTCACATGGTTTCACTCATCTCAAAAATCTTTTTTTTCCCATTTTAACCTTAGAGCACTTGAAAATTGCTATTGTTTTTGTTCACTTCAAATAATTTACATACCAGTCATTAAACCTCAGCAAGGAATAGAAAATAGCATGCCCTTTCCCCCAAAGAGCTATAATGTATACCATTTATACTGTATTTATATACCTTGCATGATATTCTGAGCTATAAGCTAAAGAAGATAGAAAATGGTAAAAATGATTTGATTTATATATAAACATAATCATTAAAGAGACTAGTTTTAAACATCTTAAAATAGTCACAGTTCAGACAAAGCATATAAAGCATGATGGGTCACTGATGAAATCAAATGCTGTTTCATGGCACTTGATAAAATCTTACCGCATCAAATGGGAAATCAAAAGGTTTACACTTTCATTTGCTTTGTGTAAAGTTCTGCGCCCTTCCAGTAAGCTGTCAAGCACAGAACAGTGATATGGGGTACAATCAGTGTCAGGATACTGTCTAGGTGATCCAGTCTGAGTGAAGATGTATACACAGTCTTTAGTGTTTCAGCCAATTGAAAAATTTAAACTAAGGAAAAGAGGATAAGACTGTTTTTACTGGCCAATTTAAAAAAAATCAATACCATCTGGGAGGTGTTGGTGCACACCTTTAATCCCAGCACTCAAGAGGCAGAGGCAGGTGGGTCTCTATGAGTTTGAGGCCAGCCTGTTCTACAGAGCAAGTTTCAGGACAGATAAGGTAACCCAGAGAAACCCTCCCTCAAGAAACAAAGAAACAAAAACAAAGGAACAAAAATCAACAAAAAAATCCATCACATTTATTGCTATGAACTGGTAGGACTTTTGTATTTTGACATGTTATAATCAGTTTCTGATTGCACAAATGTGTATAATTCAAATATATCTCTTTGTAGCCAGATTAAAGTGGCAATTTGGCCCATTTTCTGCTTTTAAGCCTGAACAATCTCTGAATCATCAACTCTGCTCAAATTTATTATAAAAATTTTCCTGTACCACTTCCCATGAGGAAGACAACACTACAGAACCCAGGTCCCATGACAGAATACACTAATACCACCAGGGACAGGTGAGCATGCAATCGTGTAAGTCAGCAGTTTAATTGCTTCAATTTTGCTTTGCTTAGAAAACAAGTTGCATATTCTCCATCATAACTTGCAAAAAATATACACCACATTGAGAGCAGGTTCCACTAGTATACAACATTCTCTACTTCTTGTAGTCAATTCACAATAAATCTCTTACCTTGTCGAGAGATGGAAGAGCAGCAGGATCATAATAGAATGAGTGATGTGTAAAATGTTCTTCAGTTGACTTCCCACGGGATTTATACTTCCCAAACCAGGAACACCTCTGCCTGTGCAGATGGAATGCTAAGCAATGTAGTATAACAACCAAGGAGTTAGGAATCGCTTCTTGTTTTATTTTTTTTCCTTTTTCTTTCAACACAGATATCTAGAAGACACTGTAACATAGTACACAAGCGAGTATGCATCTAGAAGCCACGGTACAAATTAGATGGGAAATACAGTTTAAGCATGAAGGTTCATCATTGGCTTCTGTTTTTAAGTCTGATGATGTAGATAATGGGGTTGTTTTCCTTAGAAATGGACAGGTTATTGTATTCATGCCAGGGATTAAAGAGGGAGAGTTTCATATTAGATGGTACAAATATTCCACCAAAAACTTTTCAGCTGAATCTGAGCTACAGATTAAGGGTCAAACAATTATGTTTTTAAATAAAATGCACCAAGGATACTTTTTAAAAAAGCAAATCTAAGAAAACCAAATGAGACCAACTTCTATGCTCACATTCTCATTGAATTTCCACACTTATTTATTTGGCGAAGTTACTGCATTTTTTTTTGGAAGTAAAGGGTCATGTCACACTTGTTTTCAATCTAAATTTAGTCTCTGTTCCTTGGGCCATATTTCCTTATACATGAGAAAGAAAATCAATGCCCCTACTCACCTTTGGAAGAATTTCACTGCCAAGTCTCCACGGTTCTGTGGGATCCAATAATCCGTGGCTCAGCATCGATTTTTCTGTGACACCTGTAGAAACAGCCTCTCCTTCCTTTCCAACAAAATACAGCGACAAAGACTGTGTAGCTTCTGAACAAATTAAGCGTATAGGCTATTAAGCATAACTTAATCTTCTAAAGAGGCATGGTTTATATTTTCTGAAGCTGTTAATGTTGCTTGCTTTTTTCTGAACCACTTAACCACCTTTTAAAGATAATGTGAACATCTATTTTGAAGAGAATTTGAAGGTAATATTTTTCTTAGGTTTCTCACAGTTAATTCATATCACCAACAACACTTATTTTTTCCCCTGAGGAAATAGACAAATGATAAAAAATATCAAATTTCAAGTCTCAATTTTTTAACATAGTTCCAACATCAAGTAGTTTTTTAACATATGAAAAACTGCCATCATGGTTTTAAAATGTAAAACTTGGAAGCTTGGTGAGATACAAAGAGTCTGGGAAAACCTGGTTTGGAGTATGTCAAGTCCTAGCAGAGAATGGTTCAGTTGGGGGTATGTTTTAATGGTTAAGTCACCACCTTTCCCACTTTCCTTGGTGGGTCTAAGTGCAAGAAAAGAAAAACACAGACAACAATTCATGTTTCTAGCATCCTTCACACACCTGATTTAAATCTCAGAGGTATCTCAATGGCCCTGGGCAGACTTCTCTGGGCATGTCTGCAAACATTCCCTGCAGCCATCCAGTGCAGGGCACAGTGGTTGCTGTTCATAAACCACTTCGTCACTGACTCCATTAGCCTGTGAATCTGCAAAATAAAAGTGCAGTGTTAACAGAGGCATGCCCTCTGTGTTTGTTATCCCCAATAAAATAGAGTGGGGACAGCACAAGGCAGGTTGGTTCTCATGAGATAGGTGACATCTTGGTTAAAAACGACATGGCCAGGCAGCACTCTGACAGGTTTAGTGCTACGACCTGACAGATATAAGCCTGCACAAACCTCCCTGACACACATAGTTAAGCTCACATGAAACCTTTGATTTGATAGCCCCTTGATTAGCTTTTGCAACACTCAGCACTACCCCACTGGAGTTCGTTATAAATTACACTACTCATCACATTATCGTCAATTTAGAATCCATTTTAGTAGAAATGCAGTCATTTCAACCATTCATCAAACCTGTGCACAATTTTCAGTTAAAGTATTAGATCAATCCACACTCCAGTTCTCAAGGGAGAAGTTCCATTGTTTATCAGGCCATGTCTACACTGGCTGAGCAAAGCGCTCTGTTCAGAAGGAGAAGCGCCTTTGGCAGCTAGAGTCCACATAGCTGACCCATGGATGATCATGAGGCGCTCCTTCACCTGATTACCCACGTGTAATGCAATCCCTAAGCATCACAGGAGGATGACTCTGGACAACAAAAAGTAAGACATAATTGTTGTTCTAATTTATATATTCAAGGAACTGGAAGAACATCTGACACAAATGATGACTATCTGTATGGAAACAATTCATGGCTCCATAGTGAGCTTGATCTTGCTCCTTTCTAAGCAAGACAACAGTGACACCATCTTTCCTAATTAGTTAGGATTAAGTTCAAAACCCTACCTCCTAATTTACACAGGAAAATCGTTCACAAAAGACAATTTTGTTCTTAAGACAAAAGAAAGAAATGGGACCAGAGTGGTCAGTATTTTACACTCCTATGACTTGTATTGTCAAGAATTAGTATCAAGTGTGGCTGGATTCTATTCTAGTGATGGAGCAGCCTAGAATTGTCCTGAGTGCTGAGATTCTTTCAACCATTTTTAGAAGAAAAAGAGCTTTAGCAGAACTGGTCTACTAATAGCTATAAAATTATAGCCTTCCCCTTTCACCCACACAAACACAGTCCACCCCATGACATAACATATATAACACACATCACCCTTGGAATTTTGCCAGCCTTTCCCATTGGTGAACTGGCATGGTTGGGCCAAACTACCTTAAAGGAATCAAGTCTGCCTTACCCCACGAAAGCCCTCAAAAGGGCTTCCCAGAATCCAGTGTGATTCTTTGGCGAAAACAAATGTGAAGACTTATATGTATGGAAATCAATCTGATCTGTAAGCTATCATATATCCTCCAGTATCTTCCCAAGATGAATTGCCGAGACAAAATGCTACGTCTTGGCTTCCTAATCACTTGACCTTCATAGATAGGAATATTTCCTACTTTTTGATGTGTAAAGATTCAGAATTTTGTGTGTGTGTGCATGTGTGTGTGTGTATGTGTGTGTATGTGTGTGTGTGTATGTGTGTGTGTATGTGTGTGTGTGTGTGTGTGTGTGTGTGTACATCCACGTCTGCTCACCTATAGTTGTACAGAGGTTAGAGGTTAATACTGGATACCTTCCTTGCTCACTCTCCACCTTAGTTTTTGAGAGATGGTTTCTCCCTGAACTTGGAGCTTACTCACTTGACTAGATCCCTGGCCAGCAGTCTCAGAGGGTCCCCCTGTCTCTGCCTCCCAATCACTGGGATTTCAGGCACACAATCCACATGAGCTTTCAATATGATCTGGGGATCTGAACTTGGGTATTCACACTCATATGCATAGCAAGCACTTTGTTGGCTGAATCATCTGCCCAGATCAAGATTCACATTTTCAAAATAAATTTTCAGTCTCTCTAATTTTAGTTTGAGAACCAGGTGATTTATATGTTACGCTAAATCTCCTTTAACCAGGAGCAAAATTATAATTTCACCCAGTGGTTGATCAGCTTTTCACTTACCATTACAATGAGGTAAAGTCAGAGAGTTCTAGACCAGTGGTTCTAAGCCTTCCCAATGTTTGACCCTTTAATACAGTTCCTCATGCTGTGGTACCCCAAACATAAAATTATTTCGTTGCCACTTCATAACTGTAATTTTGTTACTGTTATGAATTGTAATGTCAGTATCTGATATGTAGGATGTCTGTAACTTCTGTGGGGGTCACTGTCAAAGTCACTGAAGTATATCTAGCAGTAGTTGCATTGTGCTCTGTTATATAAAATCCGGAGAGCTTCTAAACACGTAAAACCTCTAATACTTCGGTACTGTCTCGATGTCTTCTGAGCAGATCATGAGGATGACAAGAAAGCAAACCATCGGTACAGTGTGCTTAACTCTGTAGTAGGCACCATTCCAAATCTGCATCACTGACCTCTTTAACCCACGACAAATGGGCACAATTACACTCACTATGCAGACGAGGCAGAATCACAGAAGCAGAATGCCATTTTCCTGGGATCATGTAGCTTTCATGTGGTGGTACTGGGATTTTAATGCAGGCGGCTGGACTTCTGCAGGGCCTAGGCTTACACTCAAAGAAATGTACGTGTCTGAGCCATGTATGGGTCACTACACTGCAAGCTCTCCATTCCCAGAGACTTGGATTTCTTTACATTGGTTTTTTTTTCTATCTGAATGAAATTAATTGACTTGGAACTAAACTTAACTCTGATCTGCCCTGACCACAAGGCTTATTTGTCTTTTTCTCATTCATGTAAAAATGACTAAATGGAACCTTAAGGAAGACCATTGATCTAAACATCACCTATGGAATCAGGCCCCATGAGGTTGTATTCTGGCTCTATCTTTACAAATTGGACGTGTTATTTTATCTCTTCATGAATTGGTCTCCTTGCCCACACAATACAAATAAATATAACTCTAATGTGAATTAATCTGTGCTCAATGCTTAAGCCGGTGCAAGGCACATTGGAGAACACTTAGTTTATGTACATTAGTCACCAGTTGGGATGACAATCAAATGCTGTCCTTGGATGAGAAAGCAGTGCACATTTTAGAAAATGCAGGTGTGGACACAGGGAACTCTTTTAGCACAGGCATAACATGGCTTTAAAATTTGTATTCTCATCCATAGTAATTTTATTCTGTGTCCTTTTGCAGGGACATAAGCATATCATGGAATATGTTAGAATTACCTAATGGTACCAGGTAATCTCACAAGCCAGAGAAAGCAGTGTCAATAATGGAAGGGAAGTTTCAAGGTGCTGTGACAAGATGGCTGACTTAATTATTTTCTTATATCAGAAGCCAGATTTCAACACTTAGTCATACAAGTCCATTTGGTCCGGACAGTGGTGACACACTTTTAACAACTATTCAGTTTGAGACTGGGGCAATTCTCTGTGTGTGCCTCATTCCTATTTCTACCTTTTCAGCTTTCCTTCTTGAAACCCTAAGACAGTGATTCTCAACCTTCCTAATCTTGCAAACCATTAACACAGTTCCACATGTTATGAACCCCTCAACCATTTAAAACTATTTTGTTGCTACTTCATAACTGTAATTTTTCTACTGTTATGAGTTATAATGCAAATTTTGAGAGAAGTTTGTTAGAGGGATCATGACCCACAGATTGAGAACCACTGCCTTAAGTGCTTAGACTTGTTTGGGACCACATTGGTGTCTTACAAAAGGCTGCACAGGAACCTAAAAAAATGCATATCCCAAAGTAAGAGTAATAAAAGTTTTAGGAGAAACTGGCAGGTTTGGTGCCCATTTGCATGGCACTGTACAGTAAGTAAGCCACAGAGGAAATGGAATGAAATAAAACTTCTTTCATTGGGTTCTAAAACAGACATCACCACTGGGGAGCACGAACATCTCAGAGGCTCATCAGGAGACTCAAAGAGAAGCTATTCTGGGTCACTCCCACAGGATGCACTGGGCTACCTATGTGGCCTGCATGAGACAACCAATTTCTGGTATCTAAGAGGCTGACAGTGAAAGGCCCCTCTAATTTTGTCTGCCTCAGAGACCAGAAATTTTCTCGTATACCTGAGGGAAGGGGAACCTTGATGTACAAAGTAGCATCTTGGTCCAGAATGATGGCTTTGAACAGCCTCATCCGAGATAAGGATAGAAAAATTGATGGTGCAACAAAGGCCATCCAGTCTCTGTTTGGATCCTCCAGGAGTGTCTGCACAAGTTCCTCCTCACCACTGTCTAGGCCTCTCCACAAATAGAAGGGACCTGTCACCTCATGTTCTAGGAGACTCTCCTTGTGAAATGAGGTCAACCTCTGGTTTTCTAGATGAGGATGGTTTGTCCCCATGGTAGCCAGATGCCAATCATGGACAGTTCTAAAATTAGAACACTTGGGAGGTCAAGACTGGCTGATATCTTAGAAAAACATCAAATTTTCCAGTATCAACTCAATACAAATATCTTAAAATAGCAAGAGATGACAGCATAATCCACAGAGAAGCAGCTATAGAACAGAAGTAGCTGGTGGGCAACCAAGAAGACATGTAGAATAAGAGGTTGAGTCATCCAAGCTGGCCTTGTGCTTGTAAGGTTAGCCATCTGCACAGACAAAAGCTACCATTTTTTCAGCTCTGAGATGATGTGAGCTGAGACTCTAGCTTTTTACCTCTGGACATCACTGGACAAGGCACAGTCTGCTTTTATTATTATTTTAGAAATCACTGCTACATGCAGCTTGCAACTGAGGGGACTTCATGAATCTTCTTTCCAGTGTCCTCTTTCCTCACCCCAGTCTCACGAGACTGTTAAATGTGCTGCTCAGATTTTCTTACCAAAAATGTATAGATCTTACTTTCTTTCAGAATTTTCTCCTTTTTCTTATTACTCCATAGATGGAAACCATGGAAAGCCATTAACAAAGTTTAACCTGTCATTTGTTTTAAATATTCTATTTGTTCACCATGTAACAGTTTCAGAATAGCTGCTACAAATACCAAATGTATGCATGTCCCTAGGTGTTTGGATGTGTGTGTGTGTGTGTGTGTG